TACATACAGAACTCATGTGATCTCCACAGCAGCCTGATCAGGGTGTGATACCATCTCCTGTCACAGGGAGCACGCTGACACCTGGCAGGTTATGAGCCACAAAGTTCATAAGCAGAGGAAATGAGGGTTCAAAATAAAGTCTTTCTGCCTCTAAGGTCATTTCCATGACACCCTGCTGCTTCTCCAGGAAACAGAGCAGTCAAAGAAACTCATCAGAAAATGGGTGAGCATGGACTTCAGTGAGAGGCTGTCCTGTGAACAAGACATATGGGTTTTGCTGTGGAAACACGGAGCGTGATTTATTTCTCTCTTCTTTTCCATGATCTGCACAACAGACACAGCAGATGCGTAGCAGAATGAGCCTGTGCAGACTGGACCTTGTAGACTGGACACCATCTTTCCAGAGACAGGGGTCAACTCCAGCCTCCAACTTCCTCTCTGTACTTTATTCAGTTACTCAACATCCTACACACCAGCCTTTGTGTCGGTCGTAACGAGAAGAAAGAGAAGTGGACTTTTCTCAGACTATGCCAGGTTACAACTTAGTCCTCACTCACAGATCAGGACACCTTCCCCTACCCTCAGGCTACACACCACAGGTGTTCCCCACTCAGCATGTCCACAGTTGGACTGTTATCTTTTCCGCAAAACACCTAATCAGTGTCTCCTTCTACCCCAGCACCCATGTCGGAAACCTGGTGACCTCTTAGAGACCCCCTGCCTAAACTCCACAGCACATCTGGAACAAACATTTAATTATTTCACCTTCACATCCTTGCTCTGTCCCCTCCCCACTACTGGAGCTCCTTTTCAGCACTCTATGCCATTATTTCTGAGCTGTTATCACAGTTTGCACAGTGCCCGAGACCTTCACACTGCCCCTGCTTCCCACAGCTGCTGGCATTGATAGATGTCAGCCTGAGGCAGAAGTAGTAGAAATGCAAACAAGAAAAATGCCCCACCTCATTGTGCTGTGATAGTGTAGCTAAAGAGCTCAAAATGTTAACCAACAAGAAGAGAGAGAGAGAGAGAGTCCAGCCTGGAGGCTTACCTGACCCCAGCCGGAGGAGACTGAAAAGCAAAGTGAGCACGAGGGTCCCAAGGGCCATGGATGTGTCTGCAGGCCGATCTCACACTGTGGAAACAGACGACAGCAGGGACAGGTGGATGGACTAATTAGAGAGAAGAGGAGTAAGCTCAGCTTCTGAGCTGAGGAGCCATGAAGAGGCAGAGCTTGCGCTGATGGCAAGCTGCACCATTCTTCTTAGAGTCACCTGGCATAGACATGACCCTGTGTGTTAGGGGAAAGGGGACTCTGCACTCTGAGTCACTGCATTTATTGGCCGGCCATAAACATCCATCTCAGAACAAGGAAGCAATGATAGAGAAGGGGGATGGGGCACACTGGGAGGGTTTTTTCCTGGGTCAAGACTGTGCCCGGGTGGGTGGCATGGGAGTGTCAGATGCAGGGATATTGTAATTTCCAATCTGGCAGGTAGAACTGTATAGGCGGTGGGCATCTATTCCTAAAAAGAGGTTGTCCCAGCAGAGGGTAACAGGTTGTGTAGCCAAATAGGTGCCATTCCACAATGAGTAACCAAGAGCAGGTGAGATAAGCATTTTCTGGCACAGCCTGAAGTAAACCTGCCCTTTACCCCCTTTCTTGTGTCTTACACGAGAACTCAGATCATGAAGCAAGATGGGAAGAACTTGCCAGAACAAGACAGGACCTTAATCTCCAAGGATCCAAGGTATTGGGAAATGACCAGAATATGTCAGGCCTGAGGAAAAGGTGAAGAACCACTCACTCAGTCATTCATTTAGACACAGCCAGAGCACCCACAATTAGAGACTATGCAAACTTTTCAAACACATGGAAATTTACAAAATGATCACTTGCTGACCAGTAGGCAAGTTTCCATGGACACCAAGACACACATACAAAATCAAACACATTCTCTAACCATAACAACATTGGTATGAAAAACAATTTTAAAACTTAAGACACCCTATATATTTAGAAATTGTTGGGGCCAGCCGAGTGGCGCGATGGTTAAGAACTCGCTTGGGATGCCAGAGGGCCCTGGTTCGGATCCCACATATGAGGGCCAGTGACACTGCCCTGGGAAGAGCGCAATGACGGTGCCAACTTGGGCCAGTGAAGCAACGTCCTCCACAACTAGACTGAAGAACAAAACGACAGCAACTTGTCTGTTACCCTTCCCCCAATTCCCCATCACTGTTCCCATCTCCCCAATTCCCCAATAAAAATCTTTTAAAAAAAAGAAATTGTTAATAACACAATGTAAAAAGCTCATTGGTCTGAAAAGAAATCACAACATAAGTTAGGAAATATTTAGAATAAAATGTGGGTGAAAATACCACATTTAGCCTGAAATTCAAAACTTAGAACAAATGGTGGCAAAGATGTGGAGTAACAGAAACTTTCCTGGTACAGCCATTTTGGAAGATAGTTTAGCAGTTTCTTACACTACTAACCATAGTCTTTCCATACAATCCGGCAATTGCACTCTACAGTATTTGCTCAATTGAGTTGAAACCTTATGTTTACATGAAAACCTGCACATGAATGCTTAATAGCACCTTTATTCATGACTGCTAAAACTTGGAATCAACCAAGATGTCCTTCAAGAGATGAATGGATAAACAAACTAAAGTAAATTCATACAAAGGAATATCATTCTGTATTAAAGAAAATGAGCTATCAAGTCACAAAAAGATATAAAGGAACCTTAAGTGAATATTGCTAAGTGAGTGAAGCCAGTTTGAGAGGTCTACATACTGTATGATTCCTTTATATAAATTTATGGGAAAGGCAAGACTATGGAGACAGTAAAAAGTTTTGTAGATGTCAGGGTTTGGGAGGAAGAGGGAATGTGAGAGGGATGAATTAATGGAGCACAAGGTATTTTTATGGAATGAAAGTGTGTATTCTCTATGGCATTAAAATGATTGACACATGTCATTATTCATTTGTCCAAACCCATAGCATGTACAACACCAAGAGTGAACTGTAATGTAAACAAACTATGGACTTGGGGTGATAATGATGTGTCAATGTAGGTTCATCAGTTGTAACAAACGTACCACTCTGATGGGGGTGTTGATGCTAAAGGAGGCTGAGTATGTTTGCTTGTGATGAAGGTTGACAGGGATATGGAAACCATCCTCTACACTCAATTTTGTTGTACACCTAAAGCTGCTTTAAAAATAAAGTGTATGTTTTTTAAAAGTAAAGATGGTACCTAAAGGATGTGGTTCAGGAAATACTACCCCTACGACCTATCATGAGCTTCTTTTGCTATTATTGTTGAAATATTTATTTTTAAAAGTAGCTTTATTGAGGCATAATTGACATAAAATAACTGCACATATGTAAATTATTTAATTAATATATTTTGATTTATATGTTTGCCCCTGAAACCATCACCACAAAGAAGACAGTGAGCATTTCTGCACCCTAAGAGCATCCTTGTTCCCGTTTGTAATCCCTTCTATCCTACTGTCCCTCCTAGCAACCACTGATGTGCTTTCTGTCAGTGAAGATCTGTTTGCATTTTCTAGATTTTTATATAAGTGATGTCACACAGTATGCATTCTTTTTAAGTTGTTTTTTTTATTTTTACTCCTTTTACTTGGAATAATTATTTTGGATTCATCCTTGTTGTGTGTGTATGTCAACATTTCATTCTATTTGATTACTGAGTAGTATTTCATTGCATGGATATACCACAAACTGTTATCCATTCATCTGTTGATGCCATCTGGATCATTTACAACTTTTGTTTTCTATAAATAAAGCTTCTGTGAACATTCATGTGCAAATCTGTAGAGGAATGTATTTTTTTTACTCTTGGACAAAATACTTACAATGAACTGGTAGGATCACATAAAAAGGGACTGTTTACATTTTAAAGAAACTTACAAATTGTTTTCTAAAGTGATTGTACCATTTTTATCTCCCCACAAGCTGTGTATGAGACTTTCAGTCCCTCCGCAGCTTCATCAACACTTGGTATGATCAGTCTTTTAAATTTTATTATAATAGGTAGTAATAGTGTCTCCTTGTAGTTTTACATAGTATAGGTTTTGTTTCCTTCGTTTGTTTGGTTTTTTTTTTAGCTGAGCCATCCTGCCACCTGTTGGCAGCTCAGGAGCAGCTCAGCTCAGGCTGGGAATTGAACCTCTGTTGCTCAGAGCTCACACTCGAGCGAGCTCTTAACCAACTGAGCCACTCAGCCAGCACTCCTTGTGGTTTTAATTTGCATTTTTTTTACTGCCAAAGGATATAGAGAATCTTTCTGAGGGCTTACTAGCCATCTCTACATCTTCTTCATGGAAAGATTTATTACTAATGAATGTTGGATATGTCAAACGTTCTTTTGTTGCATATTGAGAAGATCATATGGTTTTCTCTTTTAGTTTGTTAATGTGATGAATTACACATTTGATGTTTGAATATTAAAACATTCCTTCATTACTGAGACAGACACATTTGGCAGTAATGTATTATACTTGCCATATGTTGTTGAATTCAATTTGCTAAGTTTTTATTTAAATTTTTGCAACTATGTTCTTGAAGGATAAAAATTGGTAGTTTTATTTATATTATTCTAATATGTTTGTCTGGTTTCGATATCAGGGTCACATTGTCTTTATAGAATGAATTTAAAAATCCTCCCTCCTCATCAATTCTTTGGACTTGGCACAGAAAGGTGAATAGCTATTCCATGGGTGATTTGAAATAGAGGAAAGTGAATTAATTTGGAAAAAATAAACAGAGATCATGTTAGAAAAGTTTAATATAAAGAACACAACATCCACTGACACCAGGCCACCGACAAGAGGCAGCATGATTCACATTCACTGTCTCTTTTCTTCACTCAACCCTGAGATGGGAATTCCTGTCTGTTTTACAGGTGAGGAGCCCAAGAGTTTATTACTTGTCAAAGGTCCTTTGGCTGCACAGTTGGTGCAAACCAAATGCACCATCAGCCTCCTTCCCTCCCCACCTCAGGGCAGCTATGACCCCTGACCCCACAGAAATGAGTCAGCTGCCTCATCTGGAAACCATGCTGCAGTCTGCTGCAGGGGTCTGGAGCCTGAGAGGAAGCTCAGTGTCCTGAGGAAGAGTGTGAGGTGTGATGCCCTCTACACACCAGGACAGGAAGGGTGTGGTCACCTGTGGGGTGGGCTCCAGGTTGTCTGTGTCAGAAAGTGCTTCTTCTTCTGATCCTGGGGAAACTGGGCAGATCACAATGGGAGTCACATTTCTCTCATCACTCACATAATGCTCTATGTAGGGCCTCAATAACCCTTCAAACTGATGTGTCATGGTATAAATGAAGGTCTGATCATTTACATTGAAAAAGGAGACGGTCCCACCCTCATAGTCTAGGAAGACTCCCACTCGTGTAGGGCTTGTTCTTGGAGAGAGGATGATTCTATAAGGGTTAAATGTGAGATAGCAATGTTCACTATCCAGTCCAAGCAGCCAATACCCATAGTAGGGACACAAAGTCTCACATGTCACATTCCTATTCACGTCGTCCCGGCATACTCCCAAATTCCACATTAGATTGTGTCCCACGTCCACCTCCCAGTAATGTTTTCCTGCCTGGAATCCCTGAGAAGCCACCACACACTTCCTTGTAAATCTCTTGTCCGAATTGGTCACCTTCTGGTGAATGCTCCTATAGCGCACACTTTTCAGATCAGAAATGTGGAGCTGGGGGTGAGCCGTCTCTGGGTCCAGAGTCACCTCCACTAGGGTGTGGTGGGAGAGAGAGAGCATGAGTTACTGAGGAGGGAACTGGACTGGATGCAGGGGTCACCCCCTCCCACTGCTGACTAGCTTGGGGTGAGATCAGGTGACATCCCAGAGCCACAGGCTCCATCAGACACAGCCCCCCTCCCCTCTCTCATCTCTGGTGGGGCCCTCGGGCCTCATCAATGCCTGGAAATACCCAACTGTGAGCTCCTACCACTGTATATCACCCCAGCCCTACCACTGTACCACCACGTGCGTCCACTGTGTGACTTTGTGAGAGCTTGATCATCCCCTTTAACCAGATAACTTCCATTCTGAATCCTGCCCAACTTCACCTCCTTTCCCTTCAGTCCATCCCTTGGCCAGTCACCAGTGCCCTCAGGGCCCTGGAGCTTAGCCTCTGACCCCTACATTGGCTGACCCAGCCCCCTGCCCTCTCCCCTCCTAGTCCTGGGCCAAAAAATGAGCCTGGGGCAGCTGCCCCTTGGGATGGATTGGGCCTCACAGATTTATAATCTTCAGTCCAGTGTGTCTCAGTGTTCCTGTTCCCCCTTGTCTGTCTCTGATCGACTCCTTCTCCCATGCCCGTCTAAGGCTCTGTCCCACTGTCACCCCCTCAGACATTGGTACCTGCATGCTTCTGGGCCTCTCTCAGTTCTGAAAACAAGCAGACAGAGCAGGAGAATCAGTGATCACATGGAGAGCAGGAGGCAGGGAGACAGGAGACCAAGAGTGGTTAACTTTTGTGGGTGTCATGGGTCCACCAGAACTGCTGAAGGCCATGGGGTTCTCTACAAAGGCACCTCCTCCAGCATCTGCAGACAGTTTCAGGGTCCCCTTCACAAGCTTGTCTCTGCAGAGACCCATGGCCTAAGGGTCTCAAGATTCATAAAGTAGGAACTTGTAAGGAGAGATAATGGGGGTGGAAGGAATAGCTTCTCTCACCTGCCAATGCATGCTTCCTTCTCCAGTCTGAAAACCAAAAAGACACAAGAAGCTGAAATCACAGATCAAGGGCCCAGGTGAGAGTGTGAGAGGAAAGCCCTACAACACTCTTACCCTATTTCCTGGGCTGATGCAAGTCTTGAATGCTTGTCTCAAACTAACAAGCCAGGCAGGAGGTTGAGGGAGATGCCCCAAGGGCTTTCTCCATCCTGGGTCCACACCATCAGAGAATTCATGAAATCTACGGATCCTCTCCCCACAGAATGTACCAGTAGGCAAAATGTGAAGACAATTTTAGGGGACTTCAGGGTCCCAATGCCCACCCTAACCCTCCTAACTATCTGAGGATCAGTTCATTAGTCAATGGATGGGGTGTTGAACCAGCTGCCCTCATTGGCCTGACCATGCTTCCCGTCCAGTCTGGATCCAAGACAGCCCCTGGGTGGCTCTAACTGTGGAACAGGAGGGACCCAGGAGAACTGTGGGGAAGACTCAGAGCATGACTAGACACTTACCCAATTCTGCCTGGGTTTTCCCTGAAACAGAAACAGAATATCCAGTGGTGGAAACAGAAGAGTATAAGGTACAAACACAGCCCTGGCTCATTGCTCAGGGGGACAAGCTACAGGGGAATGACAGAGGCTCTTCCAGAACTCTCCTTTTGTGCCCCCAGCTCCACCCCAATGTAGGGTCTCTATCTGGGGTAAAAGCAGAGATCAAAAACATTCATCCTGAAGGGAAGGGCTGACATCTGGGGTCCTGTGGAGGTGGAGATGGAGGTTTTCAGGGAGAAGGAAGCTGGGAGGGGAGGGAAGATTATGACATGGGTTATCAAAGGGGTTTTTTCACACCCCAAAAGGAGAAAATTGAAACAATTTTACTGGAGTTTTGGTGCTGTTCTTAGAACTTAATTTGATATACAGGCACTGAAAAATTGTGCTTGTCCTAATTCTTGGCCATTATTAAAGTAGGAAAAACTTGGTGGAGGCTGGCATTGCCCAAGGGATCCATTTCAGGGAAGCATGGAGAAGGCTAGGGCTGGGGCCCCTGGGGCCCAGGTGATGGGATCCTGGAGCCCAGGGCTCTAAGGACAGACTCAGGAGGCATGAGGGAGCATCCCTGATCCTGACCCCATTAGAAACTGAATATGCCACAAGCCCATACTTCACTTTCTCACTTACCTTTGGATAGTGAATACAAAATCAACCCTACAACTGCAACACCCAGGACACAGCAGAGTACTCCCAGTGAAATGGAGGCCAGGCGATAGGGTGAGAACTGGAAAAAAGTCTCTGGAAAGCAATTCACAAACTCCTTAATTATTGCTGAAAGGTGAATGCAATTTGATTCTCATTTAAGGGATCCTTTATATTCCAAGATGAAAAGGACATGTTTCTTTAATTTCCTCCAGAGGTTTCAAACTTTGCAGTTCTGGATAAATCTCCCCTATAAATCTGTATGGGTTTTACTTTTATGTATAAAATGAGGTAGAGGTTTTGATTTTCTTTCCTTCTATATGGATAACAACTGTGCCAGCATCATTTGTTGAATGGACTTTTCTTCACACACAGTTTCACATAATATCACCTCAGTCTACATTAAGTTTCTGTTGAAGCTTTGGTTGTTTCCTGGCTCTCTGCTCTGTGCCGTTGCCCACTTGTGTATCTCTGTGCCCATAATTTTGACTGGCTTCATCATCACGACTCTGAGATATGACTTGACATATATTAGACTAAGGTTCTCAGTTTTATCTTATTTTGCTGTGTTTAGTAATTCTTAGCCAATGGCTCAACCACATAAATTTGGAGCCAAGTTATCTAGTTCTAAGAGAATTCTGTTGAGATTTTCAATAAAATTATATTGATTCTATATGTTAATTTTGGGAGAACTGATCTTTAAAATATTACATCATCTTATCTGAAAAATCTTATATCTTCTTATTTAATTTTCATTAGTATCTTTTAATAAAGATTTGTATGGTCTTCAATAAGAGTTTGCAAATATTTCATTGGACTTACTCCTAGTCAACATTTTTTGGTTGGTCTTATAGATGGCACGTTTACTTTTTTCTTGGCTGGTTTGCACAAAAATGCAATTAATTTTATTAATCCCATATGAACATGATGAATTCATTTATGAATTGAAAAAATTTAGCTTTATATTGTTCTAAATTTCTATTGTATATCACCACATACCCTGTTAACAATGGTTATTCAATTTCTTCCTTTCGTGCGATTTCTAAATAGGTTGTTTCCCTTAAAACCTTTATTCTTTCCTTTCTTGACACTAATTTTTCTGTTACTATTCTTCTTATGGTAATATTTGTCTGGTATGCTTTGGTTAAACTTTATTTTGAATAAATATGTGTTATTTTTTTTCTTACAAACTAGCAACAATCAAGTTTTAAAAATCCAGTCTGATATTCTTTGTCTTTTTACTGGCAAATTAAGTGCCTTGATATTAAGTTATTTTACATATTTGAGTTTACATAAATTATACTATTATTTTTAACTGTTTCCCAAAATTATTTATATTTTTATTCTATCTTGTTTCATACTGTAATGATTCAATGTTTTCCAAAATATGAGTAAACATTTTTTTCTTGTTCCTCAAGTTATGTTTCTTAAATTTTGTGCATGTTGATTTTAAAGGGTTGCACCATGAAGATGATCATGTAATGAAGGAAATGTTTTACCCTACTCCACTACAATTGTAGACAATTGTTTCCACATAATCTAACTTTATGATATTATCTTTATACTTCATGTATCTTAGACTTTCAAAACTAATCATTAAACCTGGACAATACTACACAACAACACTGAAATAGAGCCTAGTTTTCTTCCTAGGGCTACACAGATATGAACCTCTCCCCATTCTTCTTCCTCCGCACTCACCTCTTATCCATACCCTGGATTCCACTTCCCCGCTCTGGTCAGGGTACTGGATAGAACACGATATGTTCCCAGCATTTTCCTGGACTATCAGGGAAGTCTCCACATCAAACAGGCCATGTCTGTCTGCATTCACCTTTGAGTCTGAGGGCAAATCATGTCCTTGTGGGTCTTTCCACTTCACTGTGGGCTGAGGAAACCAGCCTGAGGACTTGCAGAGTAGCTGGATGCCTCCACCAACATATCCCATGATAGAAACTAGAGGAGCTGTGCCCAACGCTGAAGAGAAAACAGAAAAATCATGAAAGCAAAGATCATATTCCAAAGCCACAGCTCTTCCGAGGCAGGTTCATCAAATCCATAGACATCACTCCTCACCCCCATGGCCATTTCTCTCTTATATACACATAGACTTATAACAGTTGTAAGCCCTTCCATGGTCTATGTTTGGTCAACATGCATTTAACAGCTACTATATACATGGATATTGCTAACACTAAATATGATGAAGGAAATAAGACAGAGTCCATTCTAATGAAGGACTACATTTGCTGACTACAAAGGGAGACAACTATAAACAAATGCACTTCACTGTGAAATGTGCAGATAGGAAGCATGGTCAAGTTAGCACTGAGGAGACAGTGATTGTCATCGAAAGTCATGGCTTCCTAGAGGTGACATTTGCACTCTGTTGTGTCAGATGAATAGAAGGTTTTAATGTGAACAAAGAGAAAAAAAGAAGCACGATAGGCAGAGGGCCCTGTACATACCACGGCATGAGGGGTGGACATGCCTTATTATGCTCAAGGACCTATGAGCATTTGGCATGTCAGGACTGTGATGTGCAAGAGGGGATAGGTTTGAGGTCTGGGGGACAGTGGCAGGACATGGATGAGTGCACTGACCTAAAGAGTGTGGACCATTGTCCTGTAGGCACTGGAGAGCTGTTGACTGGCTTCCAGCAGGTAAGAGTGATGAGCAGACATGCATCTTAAAGAACCCCCCAGGCAGCAGGATGGAGGAGGAGTCAGTGGGAACATTCAGAAAAAAAGCAGCCAGACAGATGGTCACTGAAGTCACTCAGGTGACAGATAAGAATGTCTGGAAAAGGACACCATGAGAAGGAGTGAGACAGGTGCAGGGAGATAGATCTCACAGGACTAACAAGAGAATGAGAGAAGGTTTCACTTGACCTCCAGACTTGTGACTTGAGAGATAATGGAGAGTACCCTATATGGGGTAAACTCTTTAGAGGATTTGTTATTGCCGTCTCCCCACCCAAACAAAACTTACCCTCCCTGTGCTGTTATCTTCCATTCTCCAGGGTCTGGGCCCAATAAATAGAGCCAAATAAATGTTTGTTGAGTGAATAAAAGAAGGAACTATGATGTAAGCTCTAAGGAAGGAGGTTTCCAATAAGATGGTATGGACTAATCTCTCACTGCTCCTCTCTCTATGTAGAGTTACAAACCCTGGAAACCATAGAGACAAACATAGAACTCTGAATGGTGGAAAGAGGTAGGTGAACTTACTAAGGTCCCAGGACTGGAGGACCAGCACAGAACAGCAGGACATCTTATGGTCCTTACCCCCTTCACTTCCAGACTATTTTTTCTCTTTGTAACTGAAATGGGTCTCCTGAAAGCAACATATAGTTGGGTTTTGTATTCTTAATACATCCCCCTACTCTGTACCTTTTGATTGGTGAGTTCAGTTTATTTACATTTAGGGTGATTATTGATACATGAGGACTTAACTACAACCATTTTAATTTGTTTTCTGGTTGCTTTGTATCTCCATTGTTTCTTTTGTGTCTGCTATTTTAGTTTGGTGACTTTCTATGATTCTTTTCTCCATTTCTTCTCTATTTATATTATGTGCCTCAGCTCTAGGTTTTTGTTTTGTGATTACAATTGGGTTTATGTAAAAAAAATTTATCATACATACAATAGTCCTTTTTCTTCTTGTTGCATCTTATCTTTATTCACCCATGCAGTCTTATGCCTCCTTCCTTTTTATGTTTATATTTCCCATTTTGCTTTTTGTCACAAATTATCCCTTTTTATGCTGTGTATTTATTTCCAAATTGCAGAAGTTACAGTCTTTTTAAAATGCTTATTCACCCTTAACCTATATGTTA